CAATGAAAAGAAGAAAAAAAAAACACTAGATGCAAAAAAGTTGCAGGGTTGTCAGCAAAAGGAACAACACGAGTTGTCAGTTAATTAAACGTCAAAATATAACAGGAAATGAAATTTAACTATCTGGCTAGTGTGGTAAATAGACATCGGAATGTTTGACAATAACATTCGAAGATACTGATTCATTTTATTCTTCTACGTGTCCTGTTGCTTCTAGAATTAGGCGATTATGCCTCTCCAAAAGTTACTGTTGTTTGTAACACTTAGTAAAGTTGTGTTTGTTTTTGCTCTCTCTCTTAATCCGTGTTCCGCGAAATATTTACAAAGCTCGTTAGCTACTGAAGCTGACCTTTGAGGTCCGATGGTAGACAAAACAGAGGAAGTCGTTTTTGATTGGTTAAAACTATCGTGGGAATGTTCGAGAGAGAGAGAGAAGGAGAGAAAGTGATTTCAAGGAGTTAAGTTTTACACGTCTTACACAGTAGTCGTGGTTATTTCTTGTCTCGGGGAACTAGCTTCCTAGTGAGGGTGAGAGAGCGTCCCCATTGGCTAGTTAAAAATGTGCACGTCGACGTGTTTAAAAAAAAAAATAAGTTTAAAATCCTTTTTTGCTGAAGTTCTCTTTCATCTACGGACTCCAAAAACATTTCACAACCGGCCGGAAAAAGAAGACCGAGAGAAGTTACAACCTTATTGAATGAACCCCGTCAATCATGAGATCCCTTGAACGACGGAGTTATACAAAATTTTGATTATTTGGCGCAGTGGCCAAGACCTCCCCAAAAGAGAGAGAGAGACTATGCAATATTTCCCCATTATGTGACCCCGAAACTTCAACTTTCTTTATTTTTCTTCTGTTTCTAAGTATAATTGTCCTTTCTCGTCCATTTTTGCTAAAACGCCATCGATGATGACATGTGCATCCCATGGTATCCTTATCATCATTTGTTGAACTAAATGTAGCACGATCTCAATTTCTTAAATGTTTACTTCATGTTATTCTCAGCATCCTTCTGCAAAACTATATTACTGCTGCCTCAAGTGTCTTCTTCATCTGTGAGTAGATTATCCGAGATTAAACTAGAATTACTCTCATATGCATATAACAGATCAGTTCATATCTTATAGCAGGTATAAGTTTCCTTTGTCTCTAAAACTTCGTCATTATCACTCTATATAATGTCTGGGCTCACTGGCTAAAAGTGTTGCTTCGATCCAGTGACTTGACTCAAAGAGTTCTGAGTTCAGTACCTGGCTACGGCAGTTGTAAACAAAAAAAAAAACTTGGCGAGTTAAGTTAAATGGGACACAACTGAGACATCCGGAAGAGGCATGGTAGGTGGAACTAGAACAATCTACACTGGTGGACGAAATAAATGGCCTAGTAGATAAAAGCGTTTGACGACGGATCCGAAATTGACTGAACTGAAAGTGCTGTGAGTTCAATACCAGGCCAATGCAAAGGGAACGAAAAATTAGAGTTATCAAGGGGTATGAACTAAAACAGAGATATCCAAACGTAGGGTACGTGAAATTAGAACAATCTACCCCCGTGGATTAAATAAAGTGTTCCGTTCGGAATTCCAACAAATATCACCTGAAGAACGCCGGATCGCTCAACGGCGTCCGAAATGTCGTGGATATAGTAATGAAAGATGAAAACAACAGTCCGAAAAATATATACATAGTGTAAATCTGCACCATTTTGTTTCCTTCCTGGACGCACTTCCAGCATCACCATATTGAAATCCTCTAAGTTACTTTTGGACTTTGTAGTGGGTGAATAATATTAATTCTCACATATCAAGAAGAGACTTGAAGCGACAAGGTTTTTGACTGTGCCGATTAATCATATATATATATATATATATATATATATATATATATATATATATATATATATATATAACAGGGGAAAAGTGTGAGAGAAATGAGAAAGTTATATGAAAAACAGTTACCGGAGAGTAACATCGGCTAACAATCAGAAGGGTAGAGCTGAAAGTTTCCGACGCATCATGAGGAAAGAAGGCTTAGAGAGTATAACTCTCACGGGGTGTACTGAATGCAACTGAAGCACGGGAAAGCAGCATGAGACTGTTGTAAATGAAAAAACAAATGGATAGCAGAAAAATTTACTCAAATCAAATAAGTGATATTTTATCGGCGCGGGAAGTTGAATCGTACATCCGCTATAAAGTTCTCGTTGATTCCCTGTTTTCATTTGCTTCAGCCTAATGCACATAAAAATATAACTGAATTCGTCTTCCTCCGGCTATGGGTTAAATAGCAGGATTGACTGGGATATTTTGCCTTGTGTGGAAGCCACTCTGCAACTGGTTGTACAGAAAACTTCACCAGTTAAATCAAATCTCCTGTATGAGTAGAGTCAGTCAGTTGTGTGCCTTGCGTGATACACGCTAAGGCGATTATGTATCTTTCGATACATGACTGACGAGGCAGATTTTTTCCCGCAGTAGGTTGTCATTTCTTCCTGCGGTAGACCACTTGCCATCCAAGAATATAGAACCCGTTCTGTCCTGCTATTTACCCATAGCTAGGAGGAGAAGAGGATTCATACCTTTCTCAAGGATATTAGCACAAAAGTGAAGACAATGGATTCGACTGAAATTTGAACTCGGATCTCCGATTCCTCAGGCCGAGCCGCTATCCATTACTCCACTAGTGTATCAGTTTTAAACAGAACTGTTCAACCATGATACGTTGAAGTCAACGAGTCTGTTTATTATCTATGTAGAGCATCTGTCGGTCTCTGGAGACTATGGATCTGATCGCGAAGAACTATGCTCTCTTTACGGCCCAAGCAGGGGCAAGGTCATTTTTATGAAAGATCAGTTGTTGCCCCTATGCAACGCATATTCCCACTTTCTGTCACCGATTTCGTCCAAGGGAATGGCAGAGACCAGTATAGCTTGATACCTGCATCGTCACAGGCGTTACCAAAACGAAATTGAATATCGGACTGTCTTAGGGATGCCGACTCCTGATCCGGTCGCCAACGCTGGAAACAGAGCCCAAGATATCGAACCTGTTCAAAATATCGAATATATATATATATATATATATATATATATATATATATATATATATATATATATATATATATATGTATGTGAGTGTGTTTAAATATAAATATATAATTATTTATATATTATATGCGTGGTACTTATTAGAAAGCGCTCAATATCAGAGATGGAGCTAACATGCGTTAGCATGAGTGACATCACAAAGACGATTCCTACCCATTCCATAATAACACCAATACACGCAATCTACATAAACCCAAAATTAAAAAAAAAAATTAATCAGTTTGTCTGACGATCGCAAAAGCGTGAAACCCAGGGTCACAAAATCACATCAATCCAACCAAATATATATATATATATATATATATATATATATATATATATATATATTATATAAGTATGTTATAAAATCACTACAAAAATAGCCATTTTGTTTCAACACACTCGGTGTCTTATCAAGTGATGATGTTGAAGATCCTGTTAATTGCAACCATAATAAGAAAAGAAGATCTAGAGAGATTATTTGGTTCACTCCCCCTTTCAATATGATGGTTAAAACTAAATTAGGGCGTATATTTCTAAACCTCAAAGATCTTCAACATCATCACTTGATAAGACACCGAGTGTTGAAACAAAATGGCTATTTTTGTAGTGATTTTATAACATACTTATGTTATAATTTTTTTTATAAATACTAATTATATTTGCTCTACTTTGTATTGAGCACTCTTTTAAGAATAGTAATTGTTGGTTATTGGAATTCATTCCGTATATACCAATTATATATACTTATATATATATATATATATATATATATATATATATATATATATATATATATATATATATATATATATATATATATATATATATATATATATATATATTATGATTTTTTTAATGATTATACATTCTTTTTTATAGATGCAAATATTTAAGTAAATGTTCTGTTTATAATAAACAGTATTAAACAACATTTACGGGCCTGAATGTCCGAGAAATTTTCAGTGTCGGAGGACGAATATTTTCTGTGATTACACTTTTTCTGTGATTTCCTTCTAATTATTCTTCTTTAGTCCTCGCTCCTTAGTAATAGTGTTTCACTTGTTTCTAATTTTACCACGACTCCTAGAATATACACACATGCGAATATAAATTATCATCCGAATCCCACATACTAGAATTATAATACACTTATACACTTGTAGTATACTCGCAACGCTGTTTGACAATTCAAATGCCCGTGAAGTCTGCTTCCGTAACGAAAATCGAAAAAAGACAAAAATAAAAAAAATACCAGAAATTATTCTGTATATTATTTTCTGTCGAAGCTTTTAAAAACACGAAACACGTTAGACTTTGAAACGTTTTCTATTTGTTTTTATCCTATATATATATATATATATATATATATATATATATATATATATATATATATATATATATATATATATATATATATATATATATATATATATATATATATATATATATATATATATATATATATATATATATATATATATATATATATATATATATATATATATATATATATATATATATATATATATATATATATATATATATATATATATATATATATATATATATATATATATATATATATATATATATATATATATAGAAATAAAAGGAAAACGTCATTTAGCCAACGCGTTTCGTCCTCTGATGGACTATAATCTTCAAATATTCAAGTGACACTCTGAGCTTCTTCCCCGTCCTTCTTTGTATCCGTTTCTCAAATACGCTTCTTTAATCTTGTTCTCAATCCTCTGTAACCCCTTGCATGCTAGTGTCACTTCTGCCTTCCTTGGGGTGAATTGCATCATATATATATATATATATATATATATATATATATATATATATATATATATATAGTGCAAAAGGTAGATGCATAGGAGAATGTATAAAAAACAGGTAAATAAATACGTAGGATGAGAACGAGATAGATAGATAGATAGATAGATAGATAGATAGATACGATGCTTCACATGAAATAGTAATTTTATTCGCATTAATTGTCTCTTTTATGGTGTGACCATTGCAAAGATTTACGCTAAGAAAGAAAGACAGAAAGTTCTTTATAAATGAAATACAGCCTCACCTTGCCAAAAGCTGATAGATATTTTGGCAGACGGTTATGATGAAATAAAACCTGAATATAAAACCACAGTCTTATAGAATTCTCCAGAGTAATTCTCGTTGGCTTTATTTCTTGTGTTTCTCTTCTTTGCATTTCTTTTATTTCTCCCATTCTCCATCTCTCCCTCCCCCCCCTCCCCCCCCCCCTCCCTCTCTCTCTCTCTCTCTTTACTTTTGTGTAATTGCGCGTGTGACATTTGGGTGTTATCTTCCTCCGCATGGATTCTGTAACTAAGAAACGAGTGGGAAAATTAGAAATGTCTTTGGCAGTCAAACAAACCAACTTAATTATATAAACAAGTGTAGTTAGTGAAGCACTGCAAAAACACGCCAACATAATGCATATATATATATATATATATATATATATATATATATATATATATATATATATATATATATATATATATATATGTTTACATATATAAATATATAATAAAAATTTTTTCCAGATCTTATTATTTTCTCTCTCTCTCTCTCTTTTATATATATATATATATATATATATATATATATATATATATATATATATATATATATATATATATATATTCTTATCCATAAGTCTTCAACGATACTAGTCAACTTTGAGTGAATGTTAAATATAATAGTATACAGATAATGAATAGGGCACATGAATACTAATATATATATATATATATATATATATATATATATATATATATATATATATACACGGGATTTGTACTGATATCGTCTCATCTCAGAAATTCGGAGAAGTAAATGCTTACTGAATCGAATATTAGCGAGTATTCACGCACCAAATAATAGCTCATTTTATCGTATATTAGTGAGAATTCCCAAACCAAGTATATCTATGGAATGGAATATTAGCGAGTATTCCCGAATCGAGTAAATGCCTATGGAATGGAATATTATCAAATAATTCCTGACCACGCAATGCTTACGGAATCGAATATTATCGAACATTCCCGAACAAAGTCAATTCTTATGGAACCGTATATTAGTGAATATTATCAGACCAAGTAAATGTTTATGGAGTAGAATATTAGCGAGTATTTACAAACCAAGAAAATGGTTATGGAATCCTATATTACTGAGTATTCCCGAACCAAGTAAATCTCTATGGAATGGAATATTATTGGATATTTCTTAACCAGGTAAATGCTTACAAGCTCCAATATAAATGCTCAACATTTACCTTGTACCGAACTAAATGAATGAGGTAGACTCAAATATTAATGACCGAATTTTATCTATTTTTAAACCAAATAAATGCTTAAATATTCAAATATAAGCGATGAAAATTTATCTACTAAAGAAAATGTTAACAAATTTAAATATTTACCTCATCTCGATATAAATAAGTGATTATATACTCAAATGTAAACAATCAATATTTACCTATCCCCGTACAATATTCATGCTTATAGATTCATATAAAAGATCAATTTATTACAGAACAAAATAAATACTTATAAACAACACACTTAAATGACTAATTTCTTAACCAAGAAAATTCCGTGAGACTTAGATATAAACGATCAATATTTACCTATTCCTAGGCGAGGTAGACCCAAATATTAAAAAAAAATAAAAAAAAGTTTTCGACCCGGGTAGATATGAAGTAAAGTCAACAAACCCAACCTAATTCGAATATTATACAGTGAAAATTACAGATCGAATTTCAGTTGCGTCTTGGTACGAAATTATTGATCAACTCTATAAATATGTCCATGGTAATGAAACATTGTATGAATCCACTAATATTCCTCTGACGTGCATATGAACTTGTGTGCATGTGTCTATGTGTGAATATATTGGTGTGTGATCATATGTGTAACAAAGATCATAGAGTTTTTTTTTTTTTTTTTATGTTGTTATCAAATGGATCTAACTAGTAAGCAGGTGTGTATTTAATTAAAGAACTTATCGATACACCTAAATAGATATTCTTTCTTGCATCCAGTTGGCCCGATGCCACCCAAAAGCACATTTTTGATTATTAGCCAATAAAAAAGAAGTCACGGCCTAAACAAAATAATTTTGCAGTTCGAAAAGAAAAATACTGCCAGCTTTTATTTTTTCTTGTTCATACGATTGGTTTTGAGAGAGGATTCTTTCTCGCTTTTTATTTTCTTTTAATGTAAAACTTAGTATTTTCCGCACCGCTTCGACTTGGTTAATAATAGTCACCAAATTTTCAAACTGCACCGAATTAGTGAAAGGGTCAGTTGTTCTTGAACCAATCTTAAAGAATCGCTGGTTGGAACATGTTTGTTATCCTGAAATCTTTGGAGAAGAACAATGGAGATAAATTTGGAGGACGGATGGTTCGTACCAGAAATTATTCCTCTTCTCTTTATTCTTTTTTTTTTTTTCATTTGTCTTTCAATAATTGTTTGCCGATTATTCTTTTCTTTTTCCTTAAGAATGAGATTCGCTTATATCTGAAAGTCTGTTTTTTTCTTTTTCTTTCAATAACTTTAAAACCATTTTTACTTTCATAATTTCTACTTAATTTTTCATCATATTTCAGTATATTTTCAACTTTTATTTTTCCATTATTCTTCCTTCACATTTGAGTAGATTTGTTTATACCCCGTATCATCATAAACAACGTCCTGTTAGTTAAATATATATATATATATATATATATATATATATATATATATATATATATATATATATATATATATATATATATACGGTAATACGTTAACAAAAGAGTATCGTATACAATTACGACTGTATCAACTATATATATATATATATATATATATATATATATATATATATATATATATATATATATATATATATATGAAAAGTGTATGTATGTGTAAATATATATATGTATGTGTGTGTGTGTGCAATATTTTATATATATTATTTATATATTATATGCGCGGTACTTTTTTGCAAAACGCTCAATATCAAAAATAGAGCTAATATATTTAGTTGGATTGATCCAACTAAAAATATATATATATATATATATATATATATATATATATATACTGTATTACGTTAACAAAAGAGTATTGTATACAATTACGATTGTATCAGCTTTGTTACTCACTAAGTTACAATATATTTTGCTTAAACATCAAGCTACCCCTTGGTCGACTAAATGTTAGGAGTAGCAAACAAAGTGATCATTATTACTATGTCAAGATTGCGATCAGAATCAAGTCTCTCACACTGCCAATCGTTGTAGCAGAGTTAAACTGAGAAAATTGATGAACGCCAATACAGCGGTTTCAGATGTTTTCTGATTATAATAACGATATCTTTTAGCATTGTCCGGTTTGTTACCAGGGCGTTTAGTTCTTTCCTGTCTTTGGAACGTTCTTCCAGACTATTTCAAAAGTACCATAATAACAACGAGTACAGATTTCACATTTCGGCTCTCTATTTTCTTCGGATATACTTTTCAAGATCTGGACAATTTCTTGGAAAATGAAAAATAAATTCTTCAACATACCGATGATCAGAGAGGTTCTTTTGCCATAGATTGAGAAAATCAGTTAATAATAATAATAATAATAATAATAATAATAATAATAATAATAATAATAAAAAATAATAATCATAATAATAATAATTATTATTATTATTTGATCACTGAAGTTAAGCAACGTCGAACCTTGTTAGATGGGTGACCGCTTGGATACCCCAAAAGATTTTGATGTGCAGTGGGTTTAATAGATAATTGCTCGGCATTGTTAATCGGAAGGACAAGTTCCAATTCCTGTTGGTTTCGTTATATTCGCTTACGGGCAAATACATTTGAGAAAGACGTTAATGTACCACGCCCCTCCCTGCTATGGGATATTTAGTAATACTTGTGAAAATCAAATAAAATAATATTGAAATTGTAACTGGTGCTTAATGAATGATAGGCACTTAATCGAGTGGTTAGAATGTTCGCTTTTCGACGATGGTTAGAGTCTCGCCAGGTTCCATTCGCCAGGAAAATGGCAATCTTGATGGTATGAGGCGATCTCAGCGTACTGCACCTTTCGAAAATACCCGATAACCACATCAGGGGCTGACCAAGTGCTTAAATTCGGTGATTGTACAGGACTGGGGTGTTAACATGACGTGACATTAAGCCTCCAAATTATATGACAACACAGTATAAATTATTCTGAGTATTTCGACTGAAGACAAACACAGTTTGCGCTTATATATTACAGCAACCTCACATGAGACGATCCAATTTTACAAGGATATTTTGTCGAAAAAAAATTGTGTATGTTTCGTTATATATTTATTGAAGTATATTTTAAACTGGTTTAGTCGGTGAGGGATGAATAATGGTGTGCCTGCAAATACAATATTGTAACAGTATACCAGAATAAAGTATGAAATCATATATTGTAACTTTAATCTTCAAAGGAAACTAAATTAAATTTAACAAAGCAGAAAAGAAATACTTGTACATTTGTATCAGTGAGAAGTGATACATATAAATAAAGAAAACTGACATAATGCAATCAGTAATGTACAATAAATGTCAATGAATTCTAATAGAAACAATGTTTATGTCTAGTGGACTCAAGCTCATCTGATTTGCTTGTTTCCCGTCCGTAATATGGCTGTATTAGGCACAAGGCAGTTATTTTGTTACATTCAAAACTAAAAAAAAAGAAAAGAGTCTTATGCGAATACAAGTAGAGTACATTAGAAAGATTCACTCGTTTATATATATGTGAATAACAGTTAAACCATCGAGTTTGGTATTGCTGTTCTGATCCGAACTTAAAATTCAGTTCACTTCCCTTATTTTTTTGCATTGAACTTTTTCCTCACATTCAATAAAACTATTAACCGCGCGTTCATGTCTGTGCGCAGGCGCGTTCACAAACAATGGCTTCCTCAAAAAAGGAAAATGAAACAAGGTTCCTTATTTTCCGGTGGAGGGAATTTAAAAGCTGAAAACTGGGCCC